GTCAAGTATTTTGCCTAAATGTATTATATTCTATTGTTTCCTACATCCTTTTCGATTACCACACACATTGTGAATACTATAGACTCATCCCCAGTGGTTTAGCCATTGCAAATGTCTCTTTCCACCAGTCTTCTATCTATCTACTTTCTTTATTTTTCTGTTATTGTTGACCAAAACTCTAAATAATGATACAGTCAAACTCATAAACATTTTATCTCATGGTTTGTGCTTTTGGGTTGTTTAAAACAATTAAATTTATTTTTATTGATTACTAAATTAAAGTAAGATTTACATATAGTAAAAGGAACAAGTCTTTTTTTTTCTTTTTCTTTTTTTAGTAATATAAGGGTTTGAATTCAGGGCTTTGCTTGCTAGGCAGGCCCACTCTACCCCTTGAGCTCTCCAACCCTTTTCGCTGTGGCTATTATTTTTTGAGATAGGCTGTTGCTTTTTTGCCAAGGCCAGCCTAAACCATGATCCTTCCATTTTAGGCTGTCCGCCACTGATGGGATGACAGGGCATGCCACTAGGCCAAACTTTTTTCCATTGAAATGGGACCTCCCAAACTTTTGCCTAGGCTGGTCCTGACCTGCGATCCTCCTTGAATTCTGCCTTCCAAGTAGCTATGAGCCACTGGTGCCCATCTAAGAGCAAGTCTTAATTGAAATGCTTACTGTTTTACAAACGTGGATATCCACATAGCCAGTACCCCAATTATGATGCATAAATTTTTCATTATTACAGGAAGTTCTGTCATGCTTCTTCTAAATACTGTTATGATTTCTTTTTCTTTTCTCTCTTCTTCTTCTTCTTCTTTTTTAAATTGAGATAGGGTCTTGCTATGTAGCCAGGCTGGGCTGAAACTAGTTATCCTACTACCTCTACCTACCAAGTACTGGGATTGGAGGAATGTATCATTATACCACACCAGATAGTCAATGTCATAATTTTTATTGCCGTGTTTTCACTTTTACAAATGGACCCATACAATGTGAATGTTTCTGTCTTCTTTCACTCAGCCTTATATTGGAGAGATGCATCTATACTATGATCACCAATAGTTCATTCTTTTGTATTTTTGATTGTACCAGAGACTGATCATGTGCAAATATACAAGTGCATAATTGTACATTCTTTCTTTGTGCAAAATTTTACTTTGTCTATAGGTTTTTGTTTCTCTTGAATAATTTTCCAGAAGTGGAATTGCTAGATTATTTTTTGAGTTTTGATAAAGTTTACCCCACTCTTTTTTTCTTCAGTCCTGGGGTTGAATCAAAGGCCCAGCAGGTAGTAGGTGAGTATTGTACTACGGAGCTATATCCTCAGCTCTGTCCCACTGTTAGATCCCAAAGGTATTATTCTGAATTTTCTTCTGCTAATTTCATACTTTTACCTTTCTTATTTAGATCTTTAATCCCCACTAGTACATGGCATAAAGTAGGATTTTACTTTCTTTTTCCTTCCAAAAAGTAATCCAGGTAAGCCAGATTTTATAACTTCATCTATTAGAAGATTCATTTTCCCCCATTGATGCAGTTCCCTTCTTATTCTTTCTTATTTTTGCATACATTTGAATTTATTCCTTTGTGTTACATTTCTTTATATTGCATATTCCATTTCTTTGTAACTTCTTTATGTCATTACTTTTACTATTAGTCCATTGTTTTTACAAGTATGTTATGCTTGGTATTTGCCATAATTTTAGCCTCTATTTGTCTTAGTTTAGTGTAGGAAATATAAACTATGCCAGGCTTTTCTTCTTTTTTTTCAGTAAGAAACGTTTCAATACAGATACCTGGGTGCTCATTAGTCACTAGAATGGCTGAGGTTGTGGATTTGAGAATTGACCCAGGGCAGCTACCATTGCTCAGAAAGCTTTTTTTCACATTGAAGAACTTCCACCACTGTCAAGGCTGTCCCAGGAAGGCATATTTGACCACAATGCAGACAGAGTCCTCTTGCTCTGCTGTTTGTCAAAAGAGTAAAGACTCCTGGCATTTTGGGCAGCACCTAATCTGATGATTATTCTTTTACACGCTCACACTCTCTCTCTCTCTCTCTCTCTCTCTCTCTCTCTCTCTCTTAAATCTGTGTACATGAGATGAGTCTGACATGGTTGCTGCTTTCTGGCCTCTCTGATTGAAAAGAGGAATGGCTAGTGACATTTTCATTAACTGTGTCCTGACACACCTTCTTTACTCTCCATTTCAAAATTGATTTAGCACTTTGAGGACTTTCTCTTCCCACAACATTCAGCCCTTTTTTTTCATTTTTCTTTTATTATTCATATGTGCATACAAGGCTTGGTTCATTTCTCCCCCCTGCCCCCACCCCCTCCCTTACCACCCACTCCACCCCCTCCCGCTCCCCCCCCTCAATACCCAGCAGAAACTATTTTGCCCTTATCTCTAATTTTGTTGTAGAGAGAGTATAAGCAATAATAGGAAGGAACAAGGGGTTTTGCTGGTTGAGATAAGGATAGCTATACAGGGCATTGACTCACATTGAACATTCAGCTCTTTGAGGACTTTGTCTTCCCACAACATTTAAAACTGAATTTGAGAATTTTATCAGAAGTGCCAGCATGAGTTTTGATTGTGATAACATTAGATACATAGTTTAATTTGAGGGCTAAAGTGCTCTGCTTATGCAGAAACACTATTCCAATCAAGACATTTATTCCAGTTTTTAAAAATCATTTAGGTTTTTATGCATTCTTTGTTCAGTTGATATCTATAAACAAGAACAACAAACCCATGAACTACATTTTTCTACCCTGTTATTGCTAATATATTATTGAATTTTAAGAAATGATTTTGTCTCTATCAGCCTTGATGAATTTCTTTCTTTTTTTACTGCTTTGTTAATTTTATTGAGTTTTCTATGTGGTGACTATGTAATCTAAAAGGTACAGATTTTTCTATCCCTTTTTATTTTTCATAGCTTTAAAAAATATATCAATATATGTTTAATAATGTCAGTATTCTTAAACATTCTTATCTTGAAACTGATCTTAATACTTTTTCTAAATTTTCCCATTAAGTTGGCTTCATAGTCTTGTTATATTGTAAAAATCAATTTTATAATAAGCTTTATGAGAATTTTTATTGTTAATGGAGGCTCAACATTATCAAATGAATTTTTAAAGCTTCTGAGGTAACTATTTAAATAATTCTCCCAGATTTCAAAGGAGTTTAATTATGTTAATATATTTTTAATTCTAGGATAAAATTCACTTAATTGTGATGTTTATTATTTTTACAGAACTTTTCAATTTAGTTAACTCATATTTTATTGATGATTACTATATCCATTTTTGTGAATTTGGGATTGAATTTCATTAGTGAATTAAGTCTATGATTATTTTTCTTTTGTTTATTTAATTTTGGAATAAAGCTATGTTGCTTTCATTAATTGGATTTAGCATTATTTTACATTTTTCTACTTTTTGGAATATCTTATATAAGAGAGAGTATATTTGCTACCTTGACAAAGATTATGCATGGAATTGTGGACTTTTTTAAGTTATTCAGTGTACTTATATGCTGACTTTTGCATTCTATTTTCTGAGGTATCTATATCTATTTTAAGTGATCATGTTTATTATGTATACTATTTTAGAGTTGTCTAATATCTGTAGCATATTTTTATATTTTATTTTTTGGTGGAGGAGTCTTGCCTTTTTACTTAATTGGTCTTACCAGATAAAGCATTTTATTGATGGTATTGTTTTTAACATTTAGTTCACTATCACACTTATTCCTTTCTCTTTCCAACTTCTTGAGGTAAGTGCTTACTTTGTCATTATTAATAGTTTTTGTTTTCTTAGGAACATATTTTATAAATTTCTTTTCTTCCATTTTAAATTACCTTTCAAGGAGTCTTGTGCAACTTTCATTACTGTTTTACTATGTGTTTTCAGAAATTCCTTTATTATTCCTTTTTTAACATAAGGAATACTTAGTGCACTACTTATGTGTAGACATGTACATTTTTACTAACAATTTTATTATTGACTTTTTAAAATTTTACTTCTTGGCAGAGAAACAGTGTGCAGATTTGGGGGAAATAACTTTGGAGATTTCCTTTGTGGAGCTAGGAAGTCATAAGCTAAAATAAGTATTTGAAAAATTTTAAAAAGAATAAAGCAGAAAGTATGAAAAATTTCCCATAATCTCAACACTGCTTAAAATTCATTTTAAAGTTCAATACTTATTTTATTAAATGATAGACTACTAACTGTTGTTGATTCAGTTAACAATTTCAACATCATTTATTTCCCATCATCTGAATTCCTCTTGATAACAAAATATAGCATGTATGGTGGAATTTAATGTGCCATTATGTTCAGTAACATTATTGATATAGAATTCTAATTAGGTTCCTACTAAGGTTAAATACTTTTCTGTTTTTTAATTTTAAGATACAAAATTCTGTGGGTAAGTAAGTTATTAAATTACTAATAACCTTCAGAAGAGGTATAAGATTCCTTCTTCATTGACTTCTTTAGGAACATTAAAACATGAGAAAACTGGATTCCAGGGAAACACAAAGAAAAGAAGACAAAAACACATAAAATTTGCCTTGTTCACAGTCTATACTTTGAAATGATAATTATACCCAGATTTGGTGATGATTGTGAATATTCTATAAAAATCTCTAAGTCAGAACTCATCCTATAAAAGGGCCCTTTCCTCTGTAAATCTAATTTGCTTTATATTTAAGAATTATATTCATTGCTTATTGACCCTGTCAATATCTAACACTATTTCCTGAATACTTACTTGGGAGCAATATTTGGGAAAGGCATTTCCTCAGTGTTGATCAACATTGGTTCTCTGTGGTCATGTTCTGAAATGTGTTCATATCTGTGAGTGCTGTCAGTGTTAAGGAAAGAGACGCTTGGCAAAAAGAAAAGGTTTTAATGGTTGGGAAAGTTGGAGGTGTGGGGGATTTGAAGACTTGGAATAATCTCTTTTTTTCTATGTATTTCCATCTAGTTGCCTGAGAAAGAATCAAAAGAAGATCAGGAAGGAAAACTTAGGTGTAAAAAGGAAACGGTAAGAGCAGAGCATATCAGAACACATTTTCTCTAAGATTTACTTTCAGTCTGTGCCTTGAGAACTGAGACTTCCTAGAGACCCAATGCTGGGGTTCTTTGGTGGTTATCCCTATGGCTTGGCAGCAAGTTCAGGTGGTCATTCATCTCAACCAGAAAGACAGGACTTTAGTGTATATTTTTTGTCTCTTACTGGTTGTTTAAAGCAAGTGAAGGAATGTATAACTGGAATAAAGGATGTTTGCTTTCTGTTGGCTATTTGTAATAGTTATACTTTCAACCTATTCTCCATGGAATAGTCAGAATAGTCTTTGGAAAGTATAGGTTTAACCATGCCTGTTCCTTGTTTACAATCATTGCATTGTTTTCTATTGTAGTCAGAATAAGATCTAAGCTCCTCACCAATGGCTACTATCTTACAAGAATTTGCCCCTGCACATCTCTCCAATCTCATTCCTAAACCTCCACTCTCTCCAGGCATCCACTCCGTCTTACATTCTTCAAGCCACCAAGCTCAGGATTGCCTCCAGACATTGGTGCATACTACTCTTTCCCTGAACAAATATTTTTTCTTAAATATTATTTTCCATACTTGGACTGACAGTGTCTTCTCCTGGAGGTATTAGCTCTTGTGCCTTCCTTGGAAAGACCAGTTCAACTAGAAGAGGAAGAACTTTGCTTCTGCACCCCATGATTTTCTGCCACTATCTCCTACTTATCTGGCCTTGACCTCAAGTTGTAACTGTTATTTCAGCTTCTTATAGCCTTTCTGCCTTTACTTACCACATGTGCTTCAAGGCACTAACCACGTCTGTTGTTAGTGTGTATCTGTTGCCCAATGCTTTCAAGACAATCAATGGAAAAAAGAAAAAAAAATACAAAAAGAGCAGATATCTGGATCTTGATATCTTGCCCCAACTTAGATGAACAGAAACATCCTCCCCTATTTGTTAACCACAGGCTTTTCTTATCTTTGTTCTCAAGCTGCTTCCTAATCGTTTCATCTCAAGGTCTTTGTTTCTGCATCTGAGTTGGCCCTTCTGCTTGTTGTGAAGGGTAGACGATTGAGGGGAAGGCCCTAGTGCTTGTGGATGACATGAAATGATGTTCTCATGCATTATTCTTCTCTCACAAATGTTTCATGTACACTGTCTGTACAAAGGGAGCAGGTTACTTGATATGCCAACCCTCTGGGACAGAAGAGCAGTTATACTTATCCTGTGACCCTTTGCAACCATGGAGAGGAAATAGCATGACTCTTTTCTCAGGCTGCCATAAAATCGGTCTTGTATACAATCATTTAAACTGGGGTTTTAAGTTAGATATTTAAATTAGGCATTGAATTTAGACATAAACCAGGAATTTAAATGAGGCTTTTGTTTAATTATGTCTAAAGTGAGATCTGGGACTGGGATAAACTTTTGTTTAGCATGCACAAGGCCCTGGGTTCATCCCCAGCACTGCAAATAAATAAATGAATAAAAATAAAGTGAGATCTACACTAGATGTCATTCTCTAATTCTTTTCTGACAAAGGAACTGCAGTGTTGTCATTTTCAAATATGAGCCAACTCTTTATTACAAAAAGAAAACAACTAAATGAAGACATATTAAGTATCTTTAAGTTGTCCTCATACAAGGAAATTTTATGAGCAAAATTCAAAAACTTAGCCAGTCAGCTTGGTATGGAAGATCTGAACTGCATGACTATTTGGTCAGTTCATATCAGATACCTGTATCTTACATGGGCTAGAACTTGAGTCTGTTTTCTTTATGGATAATTCCATAGAATGATACTAATGTTACATTCTCTACATCTTCCTGGGACAATTTTGGGTGTTCTTTTTTAGCAGAATATTATTAATTTAATTTATAACTTGAAATATTTATAATAATGACAGTATGAGCTCTTTCAACTTATTTAACTTTTAAAATTTAGGTTCATAGCAATATAATAAAATAAAACTCACCATCTTCATGTGCATATTTTAATAAGTAAGAAAAATATACACAGTCATGTGTAACCACTACCACAATTGAGATATGGAATTTTCCATCACCACACCCCTCCTCTCCAGCTCTTGGTCACCACTGACCTAATTTCTGTTGTACTTTTTCCACTATGTCATAGAATCATTGTTTTATCTTTATTGAAGTCTCATTTTCACTTTCCTTAGGTTTTTTTTCTTATTGTTGTTATTCTAATTGTTTTTAATGCAAAACTTACTTTTTTCATTTTAGTTTTTCTTGTTTAGAAATAAGACTGTGCAAGAATATGGTTTTTACTTTAAATGATGTCACTCAAATGTAAAAAAGTTGATCTTGTGAAAGTAGAGGGTAGAATGGTAGTTGCCAGGGGTTGGAGAAGTTGGGGTGGGAGGAGATATATATATTTCAGTTAGGAGAAATATGAAAGTATCCTGCCTAGACAAATAGAGAGAGACAGAAAGTAGATAAGTCTGGGGGAGGGGAGGGAATATATTGGGAGGTGTAGAGAAATAAGGAATTGCTGCTAAAAGGGAGATTTTTTTAAATAAAGCAAATGCTCTAAAACTTATTTTGTTGATAGTTACACAACTGTGAATAAACTAAAAACCATTGGATTATCTACTTTAAATGGGTGAATTATATGACATGTAGTAATATCTCAGTGAGGCTACTAAAAGCATATAAAATTGTATCTATGTGCTATGAAAGATTATAGTCTTATTTTCAAGTGTTTTGCTACTTTTCATTTCTTCTTGGATATGAGCTGTTTTTGATTTTAAGCATTGTTTTACATTCTCAAATACAATTTTATTTCATTGTGACCCATATCTGTATGGTCTGTGTTATTTCTGCTTTGTGAATTTTATTGTAGTTTTCTTGATCATATTTATTAGCTTTGAGATAAATTATTTACATTCTGCACATTTTGGTTTCTTCACATGTAAGCTAGTCTTAAAATGCTACAACTTTAGGCTGTGGTTGCAAAAAAATCAAATAAACAAAAATCAATGCCCATAATTATCACAATGCCTGACTGGCACTAACACTTAATAAATGCCAGCTAGAAGAATGTTTGTTATTATGCCTCATAGGTTTTGAAGATATATTATGTGATCTTCTGTTCCATGATTATAATTTTAAAATGTACCAGTTACAAAACTCTTATATATTATACATTTAAGATATTCTCTACCCTGGCTTTTCCTACTTTTTTTTTAATGGCTGAAGGAAATTAATCTACTGTTATTTTGTTTGAGTTAACTTTCATGATTTCCTTTGCTTTGCTTAATATCATCCCAAATATTTTAGTGTGCAACAATTCGTGATGGCCGTAAGTGTCTGAGGGCTTTCATCATTATGATGCCATCCCCTGTCCAACTGGCATTTGCAGTAAAAGAAGGATAGTACAATAGGGTCCATATCCTCTGGAATGTGAGTTGGTCATGTGGTGGCATATGGGGAGATAGCTGGCCATTCCCTTGCAGATCACGAAGAAGCTTGAGTGAGTCCTTGTTTAGTGTTGTCTCATCCAATTTCCACAATTTAATCTATAGTTTACTAGGGTTGCTACAGCAAAGTACCACAGAGTCAGGGGCTTAACTAACAGAAAACTATCTTCTTACACTTCTGGAGGCAAGAAGTGTGAAAAATTAGAGTGGGCAGTGTTGAGTTCTTCTGAGCTTTCTTTGCTTGGCTTGTAGATGGCTGTCATCTCTGTGGCTTCATATCATCTTACCTCCGTTGTTGTCTGTAACCAAATGTCTTCTTCTGAAAATGACACAAGTCATATTGGATTAGGGTCTGTTCATATGAACATATTTTAACAACTTCTCCAAATACTGTCACATTTTGGGTTCTGGGGATGAAGGCTTCATTATATGAATTTTGAGAAAGACACAGTTTAGTCCAAAACATAGGTCAAGGTTATCCTTGGAAATTTTGGATTACTCCACTGTCTGGAAGCTGCTCATGGCCACAGGATGCAGAATTGTCCTGAGTTATTTAAGTCAGAGGTCATAGCCAGCTTTGTGTGCTAATAATACAACCTATATTTAATACTGGCTTGGACTTTGTGGCCAGACTCTTAGAAGTACAGAGTTGAATGCTTAGTTCTTTATTTCCAACTTCTTTGTAGCAAAATGTTAGATGTTACAAAGTTCAAATGTGACTGTACATGTTCATTTTCTTTTCCTTAAAAGAACTCATAGGTTTTACATTCTCTGAGTAACAAAATACTTGGATATATTTTCCTTTTTTGGTGATTATTTGATCGTATTTTTCTCCTCACATCTTTGTGAGTATAGCTCCATTCTCTTGCTGTGGGTCCTGGGTCACTGATGATGTGGTGCACATATATTTTCTCCATGGATGTTCATGGAGTTCTTAGTTATTGCTCATGGAGTTATTATTAGTTATTCTTGTTTTACCCTTAGAATCAGAATTTTTTATACATCTTTATTTTTAATTTTTTTCCAAAATATTTTGTATCATAATTATCAGATAAATATTGTATATATTTAAGGTGTATGGTGTGTTTTTGTATGTCTGGTGCTGGGGATGGAACCTATAGCCCTTGCATGCTAGACAAGTACTCTACCACTGAGGCACACCCCATTTTCAGTAAGATGTTTTATGTAAGTGTGTATTATGCAATGATTACTACAATCAAACACATTAACAAATTAACATATCCATCATCCCACACAGTGGTCATATTTTCTGGTGGTGAGAGTGGTTGAGATCCACTCTGTTGGCAAAGTTCAAGTATACCATACATTATTTCTAACTCTCAAGCGCCACACAATGTGCTCTTCTTCCCCTGTGAAATCAATTTTCAGATTCATGTCTTTATTTCAGGACTTTCCTCTCTTTGAATACTTTAGGTTTGTTTGGTTTTCATTTCTAGCCAGAGATATTATGTGTGTATTTGACCTTTAATTTTTCATTATTGTCCTTCCTCTGATCATTCTACTTCTTAGTTTTCTATCACTTAATTTTCATTGCAACCATGCTTTACGTATTTCTTCTGTCTATTTAGAAGAATTGATTTTATTCTCTGAGGTTTTTAATGCTGTTTTACTTTCTCTAAGGATTTTATTATTTCCTTCAGTTGCTTTCCTGATTTAGGCCAGTTCGCTTTCTTCTGCATTTATCATAGTTATTATTAACAATAATAAACAGATATTTTTTATCTGCTTTGTAATATTACTTCTGCTTTTCATGTTTTATTTTTACTAATCAGTTTATTTATGTAACTTATGGCTTAATACTTTGAAAGGAAGCAGACCATTTATAAGGTAAAATTGTGTATGTGTGTGTCTAAGGAGAATATAGAAGAGAAATAAGCTAAGATCCTGACTTAAATTTTGGTATATTGACTTAGAAAATCTCCTCATCAAATAGTTCCTTCCCTTTGCCCAGGCACATCCCTATTCTCTGTGTAGTGGGCATGCTTGAGGTGGGCAGGCCATCATTCTTTTGATGCCTCCACAGTTTCTCTTACATTTAGGAGACTGGGAGGCAGAGAAATAAAAGGTGATGTGTCGGCAACCCTACCCTTCTTAGCCCTTCTCTATTATGGTATGGAATTATGTCTGGATAGAGTCAATTTTCATTTCTCTCATTACTGGCCTACATTTACTAAGTGTCTGCCACTGTAAATTTTTAGTTCTAATTTGTAGGAGCCTCTCATTTACCTTTAAGTATTTGTACATCCTCATGAAGGATAGCATGGAAGGCTGGGCATGGTGGCACATGCTTGAAATCCTAGCACTGGTGAGGGTGAGGCAGGAAAGGTCATGAATTCCAGGACAACCTGGACCCTATCTAAGTAAAAGCAACAAACAAACAAATAATCAACAACAGAGAAACAAGTCGTCTTTTAATCTTCTCCTTTTACTTGTCTTAAAGGCCATTTTGTTTTATGTGTTCTCCATACCTGTGATACTATGTTTGGTCTGATAATCTAGAAATTCTTTAGCCTTCTGATATATGGAGTTTTATTCTCCACATTTCATCTTTTATCTAGATTTCCCATTTTTTCTGAAAGGACTAACTCAGGATTGTAATTATATGTAAAATTTATACTGCAAATCTAACAATGACCTTTAGGGAAGGGCAATCAAATAATTCTTTGAAGTGCATTTTTGTCTTCAGAGAACCCATGGTATATTATATTATTCTCTTTCCTTGTAGGCAGGAAATGACCACATTTGAAGGAGAAAGTCAAGGCCAAGGTAAGGAAAGTAAGTCACTGCTTCTAATATTTTCATACTAGGGAAATGTAAATTTAAGCATCTAAACTGCCAGACAATTTATTGATAGGTTTTTAAAGATTAAAGACGTTATTTAGTCTTTACTGTCTCATAAAACTCATCTCATTCTTCTTTATTTATTTATTTTTTTTTTGGTGGGACTGGGGTTTCATGCTTTCAAATCAGACACTCAAAAAACAGGCACTCTCCCACTTGAACCACACTTCTCTAGTCTCTCATTATTCTTTTTGACACTAGTATTTTTTACATGATTTATTTAAGCAACATTTAAAAAACTTATGTGGGAAGCAATTAGCCAAAATTCTAGTGATTTTAAATATTAGCTGGTAAGTAATAAATGTATTTTTTTCTTTGTTCAAGCAGTTACTCTATCAGCCATAATATCTAGGTGTAGTAATTATGCAACCACTCAAAATGGGCTATTGAGATATTTGATGTATTTTAAGAACCTTTGTAAATGTCACAATGTACCCCCAGCACAACCACAATAATAATAATAAAATAGAAAAGCAATATTCAGTTCAGGACAGAAAGGTCTAGAGGAAACTCACTTTTTCTTCTTTTTTCTCCATTTTTTGAGACATGATTAACAAATAAAACTTTTTTTTTCATTTTTCTTTTATTATTCATATGTGCATACAAGGCTTGGTTCATTTCTCCCCCCTGCCCCCACCCCCTCCCTTACCACCCACTCCGCCCCCTCCCTCTCCCCACCAATACCCAGCAGAAACTATTTTGCTCTTATTTCTAATTAATAAATAAAACTTATGTGTGATGATTTGATAGACATATACATTGTGTAAAGATGGCCACATCAAAATTATGTATTCATTACCACACGTAGTTATCATTTTGCAGGGGAGGAGACAGTGAGAAGACTTAAGATCCACTCTACTGGTAAATGTAATGTAAACAACACAACATTAACATTGTAGTCACCATGGTATACATTATGTCCCAAGAGCTTATCTGTAATTAAAACTTTGTAACATTTCATCAATCTCTCCCTATTTCCCTCACCCCCTAAAACCTGGTCACCACAGTCCTACTCTTTGTTTCTGTAAAAAAACCTTCCTCCTTTTTTCTTTCCTTCCCCTCCCTCCCTTCTCTCTCTGCCTGCCTCTCTCTCTCTCTCTCTCTCTCTCTCTCTCTCTCTCTCTCTCTCTCTCTCTCTCTCTCCTTTCTTTCTATTTCTATGGTGCTGGAATTGACCTGAGGGCCTTGAGCATGCTTACCAAGGAATACACACTTTCTCATCACTATTGCTTCAACTGTCTTCTTACTCTTCTTTTTTTATTCATTTATTCACATGTGCATACATTGTTTGGGTCAATTCTCCTCCCTGCCTCCTTCCCAACCCTCTCTCTCCTCCCCCACTCAGTTCCAGGCAGGTCCTGTACTGCCCTTATCACTAATTTTGTTGAAGAAAAGACACAAGGATAATAAAGAAGTTATTAAGGATAGCTATACAGAAATATTCCTAGCATTGCTTTCATGTACCCATGTTGATTCATCTCTAACTGTTCTTTACACTGGTTCCTGATCCCCTTCTCATAATAACCTCTGTTGCTTTAAGGTTTCTGTATTAGTTCCTCTGGAGTGGGGACATTAAATGGTTTCATGTTTTGGGTTTTCTACCTATTCCTATATCTCCTGTATGTGCTCTCCCCTTGTCATACTTCTCACTTTTCTTGAAAGAATTGGAAGCCTCACTTTTTGGAACTTTGTATCTCCCAGTCATACTTAAACTCTCCGTAACTTGCTTCTAATACTAAAACTGTACTGAATAAATTCCATAGTCTATGAAATAGACTTATTTCATCAAATGTCATTGCAACTTTAAATAGAATGACATTGAAAATCATTATAGTGCATCATGTATAAAATTGTTATATGAAACAATTATTTCAATTGTATGTAGATGTATGTGGGTATAGTAAACTAAAGTATAAAATATATTCCTAACCTTGGAACATGTTCAAAAACATTATATCAAATTTCATAAGACAATTACCAGTTTAAATCTTAATAACCCTGTCCTTGCACTTCTAAGTGTGGCTCAATATCTCCCTTCTGAGAAAGTCTCTTCCCCTGTCTAGAACTTCACTCTACAGTTTGGGCCTTAGTCACTGGCTACTTGCCTAACCTAGCTCAAAATACACTTTCCTGGGTATAACCTAAAATGATGGTGTCCCTTAGTAATCAATTCTATAATCATTTTATTCTTTTGAAATGTTTGAATAAGATTGATCTTATTTCTTCTTCTAATCATTGGTAGAATTTTTCAATGATGGCAGATGCAAACACATTTGTAGTGGAAGATTGCTCATATTTTTTGTTTCATTTTGTCAGCTTTGCACATTTCTAATCATAGTTATCCTTTCAATTACACTTTCAAAGTCCTTAGCTTAAAATTGTTTATCATATCCTTATAAGTATTTAATGTTTGTAGGACCTGTTGTGATCCCCTACTTATCATTTCTAGTATCATTTCTGTATGTGCACACATAAGCACTTTCACTTGCTATTATGTCATTAGTCCATTGCATGAAACATAATCTCATTCTGTGTGTGTGTGTGTGTGTGTGTGTGTGTGTGTGTGTGTGTGTGTGTGTGTCTGTGTCTGTGTGTGTGTGTGTGTGTGTGTGTGTGTGTATGATGCTAGGGATTGGAACTAGGGCCTCATGCATGCTAAGCAAGTGCTGTAGTACCGAACTACCTGCCAGCCCTGAGTTCATTCATTTTATCAATAGTTTTATTAGTATATATTAATTATTCAATGAGATTTCATTGTGCTATTTCCATACATGTATATACTGTACTTTGATGAATTTTCCTCCATCTATTATTCATTCTAACCCCCCATTCCACTTTTAAAAAATGATTTTAACAGGTTTCATCATTCTATTTTCATGTATGGGATATACTTCAATCATATTCATGCCCACTTCCCTCTCTCCTTTCGCCCTCCTGCTGGTCCTCCCCAAAACAGTCCCCACCATTTTATACTTCTGTTCATTAATGTTTTTAAGATACAGATTCCATGTGTGAGAAAAAACATGTGATGTTTGCCATTCTCTAGGGCTATTTCACTTAACATGTTGATTTCCAGTTCCATCCATTCCCTGAAAATGGCATACTTTCATTCTTCTTTCTGGTTGAATAATACTCTGTTTTCTCTCTATGCCATATTTCCTTTATCCATTCATCAGTAGGTAGACACCTAGGCTGATTCCATAGTTTGCCTATTGTGAATCGTGCTGCTATAAATATAAGAGTGCGCTTGTCTCTATTGTATGTTGACTTAAATTTCTTTGGATATATGTCCAGGAATTGTTTAGTAGAATGATATGGTATTCTACTTTTAATGTTTTGAGGAACCTCCATTCTAACTTCTATAGTGGTTGCACTAATTTACATTGCCACCAACAGTGTATGAGTGTTTCTTTTCCCCGCATCTTGCCAGCATTTTTGCTGTTTGGTTTTGACCATAGTTGATCTGACTGGTGTGTGATGGAATCTCAGTGTAGTTTTGATTTGCATTTCTTTTATGGCAAAGAATATTGAACATGTACTTATTGGTCATTTGTACTTCTTTTGAGAACTGTCAGTTCAATTTATTTGCCCATTTGTTAATTGGATTTTTTGTTCTTTTCGTGTTTATTTTTTAGAGCTCTTTATATATTCTAGATATTAATCCTTAATACAATAAATAGCTGGCAAAGATTTTCTCCCATTCTGTAGGTTGTCTCTTGAGTCTGGAAATTGTTCCTTTCCTTTACTTTTAATTTGATGCATTCCTATTTGTCAATTCTTGCTCATATTTCCAAGCAATGTGATTCCTATTCAAAAAGGCATTACCTATGCCTTTATCTTCAAGGGTCTTCCCTATATTTTCCATGAACATGGGAGCTTCTTCCATTTTCTAGTGTCTTCTTCAATTTCTTTCTTCAGTGATTCATAATTTTCATTGTAGAAGTCTTTCACTTCCATTGCTAAGTTGATTCCTAGGTATTTGAATATTTTGAAGCTACTGTGATTGGGATTGTTTTTCTTATTTCTTTCTCAGCCTGTTAACTTTTATATTCTACTACTTTGCTCAGTGTGTTTATCAGATTAAGAAAATTTTTGTGGCATCTTTTCATATCATCTTCAAATAGGGATGATTTGATTTCTTCCTTTCCTATTTGTATCTCTTTCTTTCTCCTGCCTTATTACTCTGCCTAAGAATTCAAGCACTATATTGAAGAATGGAGAGAGTGGGCACCCTTTCCTCATTCCTGACTTTAGAGGAAATTCAGTTTTTCCTCACTTAGCACAATATTGGTACAGGTTTGTCATATGTAGCCTTTATTATGTTAAGGTATTTCTATAATTGATTTCTTCAGGGATTTTATCATGAAGGGGTGTTAAATTTTGTCAAACACTTGTTCAGCATCTATTGAGATGATTATGTGATTTTTATCTTATTCTGTTTATGTGCTGTTAGTTTACTGATTTGCATATATTCAACCACCCTTGAATCCCTGAGATTAAATCAACTTGATCATAGTATAGTATTTTTAATGTGTGGTTGAATTTGTTTTGCAAGTATTTTATTGAGAATTTTTGCATCTATTTTCATCAACAAAATTGGTCTATAATTTTTTTATTGTATCCTTACGATGTTTTAGTGTCAGGGTGATACTGGCTTCCTAGTTTGAGTTTGGTAGTGTTTCTTCCTCTTTTATTTCATGGAATAGTTTGAGGAGCATTGGTGTTAGTTCATCAAAGTCCTTGTAGAATTCAGTAGTGAATCTGTCTGTTTTCTTTTTGGGAAGACTATTTATTACTGCTTCAATATCATTGCTCATTATAGATTGGTATAAGTGATTTATGTATTTGAGAGCTCTCTGATTTTTTAATGAGTTATAAATTTCCCATTTAGAATTGCCTTTATTGTTCCTCAAAGATTCTAGTAA